TCACTCAGCTTCTTATTGTGAATTACTTGGCATGTGGCGTCTTCACATAGTTGTTGAATGAGGTTGATAAAGGTTTGTGGTATTCCGTAGTATTGAAGCAGTTTCCAAATTACCTCCCGGTCGACGCTGTCAAAGGCCTTCTCAAAGTGGATAAAGTTGAGGTAGAGAAGTGAGTTGACTGCCATTATATACTCTGTCCTATGATGATGCGAAGCGTTGCAATTCGATCCCCACCTCGCCTGGTTTACTAGTTCACTAGTTACTAGCTGGTCCTAAGCCCGGGTATAGAGGGAAGATTGAGCGTAGGGCTAGCAACACTACCCGTGAAACCAATCAAACCTCTAAATAAACTTCCAAGCACAAACAAAATATTAAAAAAAAACACATGGCCCCAACGCAACATAATTTTTGACAATGAAACAATCAATTTCCAGCATAAAATCTGGGTTAATTGATTAGCTTCATTCGATACGGATTTATTTTCGAAGTACACCTTCTGAATGGATGAATGAGGAGTCAATCGAGAGCTCTTTAACCAAGCTATACAACAAGACTAATAACTAGGCCATAAAGAGAATAACGTCTAGAACAAATCGAATGATACGACAAGTGACAGATGTCTAGGCTTCATGTTTTCTACTTTTCGGCTGATAATAACACATTGAAGACCAGACAAACACCAGACAAGTGTTTTAAGATTGATCTCTTTTCTGCCTACCACTTAACTAAGCAACTAATCATTACTGACTAGTATAAGTGAGTTAGGATACATTTAGTCGACTACATTGGTCACGACCTCTCATTGGACTTCAGGAATCACCTCATGAAGCTAGTCACCAATTCTTTCCATAGGTTTGTGAAGGCTTATTAATTGATTTTAGGTTGAAATTTGCCATGGACTGACATCATTTGGAGGAAAATTGGAAACCTGGGAGCACTGAACATCTGTTTTGTCCTAGTATGGGACTCCTCAGCAGCGCGTAGCCATAACCACCCCGACAGGGATCGAACCCTCGACCTTCAGGTTCCGTAACCAGCAAATTACCATTTAGCCAATGGTCCACATTTCCTACTTGTCAGTTCATGATAGAGTTCGACCTAGATCTAATGTTGTCGTTGAGTAACTGTCCTCATACCTGACTTAGTTGGCTACACTAGTCACCACTTCCCATTGGAACCTTGGGGACCACCTTTCGAAGTGAGTCACTAATGAGCACTAGATTAATTCTATCTGAAGGTTCGTGGAGATTTACTAATTGGTTTTAGATTGGAATTCATCGTCTAGTGCTCATCGGTGACTAGTTTCGAGAGATGATTCCCGAAGTTCCAATGATAAGTGGTGACCAGTGTAGCCAATCAAGTTGAACATGAAGACAGTTACTCAATAACCAAATTCCACCTAGGCACTATAATCTATTGATCCAATCAAGTTGTTACAAAACAGTGACAATGGATATTAATCAAGCTGTACTGTAAACCATTGATTAGTAAGTGTTGACTATTTGTTCGCAGCCTAATTGTTGAGTAGTAGTGAGTTCATTAAACAGTTTGATAGTTTTTAATCAAGTAATACATGGTATTAATGATGGATGGTGGCTAGCAATGGAATCCAGGATGAGCTTTTCGTCCCATCTGGGACTCGTCAGCTGGATGTACCTGCTTCCCAGTGAGTGATGTTGTTCCCACTGGGATTCGGACTCGGGAGCCATCTCTCCAAACACCAGTGAGTTGTCCACTACACCACTGAACCACGATAACCACTTCTTGTGCGACGGGATTAATTTTAGTATAACTGTTTTTATATGATACCGTCGTTGATTCGACCGAATTGATCGGTCTCTATTGGCATACGGGCTCCCGTGCGGATGCCTTGATATTGTCTGCGTTCTAATTGTATTAATGATGGATCGTGGCTGGCAGTGGAATCCAGGATGCGCATTTCGTCCTATTTGGGATCGATCAATTCGGTCGAATCAACGACGGTATCATATAAAAACAGTTATACTACAATTATACCCGTCGCATAAGAAGTGGTTATCGTGGTTCAGTGGTGTAGTGGACAACTCACTGGTGTTTGGAGAGATGGCTCCCGAGTCCGAATCCCAGTGGGAACAACATCACTCACTAGGAAGCAGGTACATCCAGCTGACGAGTCCCAAATGGGACGAAATGCGCATCCTGGATTCCATTGCGAGCCACGATCCATCATTAATACAATTAGAACGCAGGCAATATCAAGGCATCCGCACAGGAGCCCATATGTCAATAGAGACCGATCAATTCGGTCGAATCAACGACGGTATCATATAAAAACAGTTCTACTAAATACTACATGGAATTATTAGAAGTACTCAACTAGATGAGAATTTTCGCTTACCGTTTCATGGTTCTAAAGGATTTTTGAAAGAAATAGACATTCATTTTGAAAGTTACCTTGAAAAAAATGATGAGATTTCTCATTTCCTTCTGTTTTCTGTCATTCGAATTAAATTTCAAACTGATTATTCTGTAGAGAAAAGATTAAATGGAATAAGAAAATGAGTGATTGAAAGAGAGAAGGAGTGGGAGAGAGTGAGTGAGTGAGTGAGTAAAAGAGAAGGAGAATAACCATTGATGAATGATTCCAATCATTGTTTTTCACCTTAAACACTTCTCTTATTCATTAAGTAATAGCTAAGGTAACATGCACATGAGAATAGCAACCACACACACACAACATGAGATGTGACCTAATTAACCTGAAATGTTCCAATTTAATAACATTGTTCTTTTTCCATGCTCTAATAAATAATAATAATAATAATAATAATAATAATAATAATGACTTCATAGATGAACTCTTTCTAAGAATATGTTTGATAATGACATTGATATCTCTTGACATTACTAAGCTCTTATCCTCGGAATCTATGCTCTTACTTGACTTGTGGACACTCGGTTCTGTTGTATCGTCTTTTCTTCTTGCCTCCCATTGTACACACACACACACACACACACACACATTTCTCAGGAAATCTGATATCAAATGACTGTAACTGACACATTGAAAACAGAAATGATAATGGGTGAAAATATTTGTGTTTCTCACTTTTGTTATTGACCTTATGAGAAAAAAAAATGAAAGGAAATAAGAAAAGAAGAAGAGAAAGAACAAATGGAAATGAACTTTCATTGTTGATACTGTTATTACTGCTGAATAGACTACTTATTGGAGGTTTTTGAGTAGTTTAACAATCTAACTCCACGACTGCACAGAAGCTTTCATTTCTTCCTCACACAATCTCCTCCATGTCACCCTAACCTTGGATGCCCAACTCATCGTTTCCCATTTACGTTCATCTTGATGGCCTGGCCTGACCTGATGCGTGATGTCCCAAATGGTCTTCTCTGTCTTTGTCCAATCCAATCCATCTCCACTTTCTTCCTCTGCATATGCGTTGTGTAATAGGTTCCCGATTGGTTCGTTGCCAGATAGTCAGCTAGCCAACTAGAGTTCTTTGTTGCTTATTGTTAGTATTCTGACCATCCATATGATCAATCTTCAGTGTCAGTATCGAATGAGCGTAGGCGGCAGCTGTTCATGTGATGTATGTCTGTAGTTTGTTGGAAATACTTTTCGTAAGTTGCCACGAAGTCTCTCAAGCATCACATAGAAGCATCGACTTACTTGACTGACTTAGTGTTGAAAATCCGGATCTTGTTCACGCTTTGTGCTGAGTCGAGTGGAGTGGAGTGGAGTGAAGTAGATCTCCACACTGATTATTTCAGATTGATGAAGGAAGGTCTGTCTTGCTGTCTTTCCGATCGTGGCCGGTTTTGACACTCTCATCTGTGTCTGTACCGCCAACAGTAGTTGAAACGATGCGGCCTACTTAGGGAGGTAGGTGAAAGAGACAATTTTGTCTAGATTTCTCCCGTTGATGGTGATTGGAGATTATTGCTGTTGGTGGTGGCGTTGGTTGCGTATCATTATCACCTCTGTCTTCTCTACGTTCACTTGAAGGAAGTCCCATCTTCCTTCACTGTCCTGCCTCTTCTGCCAACTTGCTAGTTTTCGCCTGTACATCTTCGAGTTTGTGCCACAAGACATTAGACATAAATCATCATAGTTGGCGAAATCCAAATCTTCTTCTGAGGTCTTTTTATTGGTCCAGCCAGCGTATTCCCATATTCTCATAGCTCCTCACAGTTTGTTGCATGATTGAGTCCAGTGCAATCGACCACAATCAGGTAGATCATCGGTGATCATATGACGAGGAGAAATTCTACTGCTTCACAGTGTGCTACAAATGACATTCTTGTCGCTCCAATATCGTTTACCGTTTGCTTTGCCTGAGAACTATTTGAAAAAATGTGCAGAAGTGGTCTGTAAACAATGTAGTACCGTGCGACGAAAGGCAAGTTTGTTGCATTAGCATCAGATGACGCCCGAAGAGTACGCGGATGGAGTTAGAGATGTCATGAAACCCACTGACTTCAGACAGTTGCAAACATCAGAATGAACTGAAATCTGTACTAGCATGACGGGATAATTTCTATGCTTATGAAGCAAGTACAATGAGTGGTTATTAGTAAAACATTTGTAATAACTTACTGACCTTAAACTCATCATAGTGTCGGTTTTCAACTGTCTCATACTTGCTGCCTGTCTGAATAGAGGTATAATTGTGTCACTAAAGCTCTATTTCAACTCATACAGTTGTGTAAGAATATGCAAGGGAACGTTGGATCTCTGTTTTGAGTGTCTTGTTGCATGATACGACAATTCGGATAAACTTAACTGTGACTGACTGTATCCATCCAAATATCCATCACTTTCTACGTCTAGTCATCTTTCATGTTTGTGACTGTTGTATCATTTTTCTATCTGATGTCGTTAATCTTTTTCTCACATGACCTAATCGTGTGTTATTCAGCATCTTCAAGAGTATGCAGCATCTTCACCAAGTCATTCTGATGTTATTTCTTCACCATGTGCTCATAATAAAACAGAATGGGATATGACACGTAAAGAATTTCTGAGTTGGATTCAGACGAAACTGATTGAATTGATACCATGGGCAAACAAATTGCCTTTACACGAAGTTTTCTATGGTCCTCCACTGGAATATAATCCACCCTCTGATCAGTCAATTCATTCACAGTTGGCGCTGTCAATTCGACGTCGGTTAAATCCTCCACTTCAACGTTGTTTACATCAAGCACTTGTGAATCCTGGAATTTATTTACAGGTTTGTTCTTCTCATAAGTTATTTCTGCTTGTTATTTGCGGTCACTTCCATTTTTCTATACCTTCATGTTGTTGTGTGTGTGTGTGTGCTGTGTATCTGAACTTTTGATGTGGTTAATGTGGGTAAGTTAAACGTTGAAGTTTTCACGACTCATTAGGCTAACACAAGAGATAAGACAGTGGTGGATTGAAGTGGTTTGCTTGAACCAAAGAGAGTATATCTGTTGTCATCATCGTGGTTGTCGAGATCTACTAAAACAAGCAGTACACAGCAGGCAGTGGGGTGCACAAAGCGAATTTCAATTTTCTATCATGGACTTCTTACAAGTGTAGTCATCGATACGCGTTCATTCTTGACTGTCTAACATCCACACAGAGAGAGAGAGAGAGAAAGCAAAATTGTAGGAATAATTTATGCTGAACCTTCCTCCTGAGATGGTTCCTTTTACCCACTATCTTGATTTTCATGAAATTCTCTTCAATGAAACAACCTCATGAATAGGTGCGTACTGTCTCAAAAACAAGTTTTAATGATGGGAAGTAATTCTGTAAGGCATATCTACTGTGTTGTAAAAGAAAGTTTAACATTCCTACAGAATTCACAATTAGTACACTCTCAAAGTCTTGGATTCAATCTGTTATGTGGTAAACCTTGTTAGTTGGTAGAGGATTTGAGAATATGAGGTAGGATGTTGTTCATCTCGTTCAGTTTTTCTTTGATTCATTGTTCAATAAATACCTAGGGGGAATCGTTACACTGGTAAGCAGATCAGCTAAATTGATCAAGTTATGCTTCTTCAATTTGTTATTTATACTGGTTACTACATTACAGGAAATGATTGATTAACTTGGTCAGCACTTAGGACTAGACAACTAGAGTGAGTAATCAGCGGGCTTAATCCAGTCCTACAGGAGGTCAACTGTAACCCGATTAGTTCAGTGATAACGTCTCTGACTGGATTCAAATCTCTCAGGAGACAACAATTCCTTTGAGGTTGTATATGCGCCTTACTGATAAGTGCCATGGAGTAGGAAACATTGGTGAAGTAGGGCTTCCTGTCTATTGCTTGCAAGTGACTAACATCCTGAACTTCGCATATTAATATAGTCATCACTTATTGTTATGAATGTGTGTATGCCGTCACCTGAAGTCCTGTGACAGAAAGAAACGTGTTATCAACAGAGGACAGTGACATTACTGAAATAATTCACATCGGTTCAAAAGTGAACAAGAAAAAGGATAATGGAGGGCAAGTGATGTTTGTAGTTTCGATATCCCGTAAGACAAAGGGAATAGGAGAAACGATGTGATACTCAGATTAGTATTAAATTATGAAGTCATGTATATTATTGAGGCCGTGTCATTCAGAGGTTCCGATCATCGATTACACCTGTGCTGATGTAACTCAATCAAGAAGTCTACGACTCACAATCATAGTCAAAGACCACTTTTCTCTGTGGACATCTTTGACTGTTTCCAACGCATTTCTAGTTTGACTAACATTGAACGTCAAGGTGGATGATCATTTGGCATGTACAGTACATGTCTAAGTCACCACCACATGAGTTGGAGAAGGTTCACAACTGCATCGACTACCTTGCTTTCTTTACCTAATACTGTACACCCAACCTTAGCATTGTTCACCACTTGCCAGCAATGCTATGAAGATATCTGCGATCAAATCTTGTAGTCCTTCATATATTCTACTTTGAAGGATCATATCTCAGTCATATAATAGAACAGAGTGGACTTCTGCACAGTTTACTCGTATTTTAATAGTCGATCAAAAAGTATCATCGGTTCTGGAAACGGCTTAATTTGCTAAGTGTTTAAAAGGCCTTTTGTATCTGAATTGAGATTTCATCAACAACCAACCCATTTGCTAGTAAGAGAAAGTGTTTAACAAGTTCCAGCAGTTCATACTAGGGGTGGTTACAGGTTAATCTTGGAACGTCATCTTATATCTAAAAGGTCCGAAACACAAACTAATCACACCTGAAATGTTGCCTAAGGTGTTTAGAAAACCCCGGACTTTTGTAGTCTTTGCCTGTTCGATACTTCTTCTAGGCACCATCACAACACACAAAATTAACTAGTGTGGTCTATTTGGTGACTGACAGTGGAATCCAGGGTGCGCGTTTCGTCCTATTTGGGACTCATCAGCTGGGTGTGCCTTCACTCCAGTGAGTAATATTGTTTCCACCGAGACTCGAACCAGTGCCCAGAGCTTCAAACAGCAAAGTATTATCCGCTAACCCACCTGAGCACAAGAGCTACCATTTGTGCAACGGCATTAGTTGTTGTTTATTGTTGCTTGTAATTTCGACCGTGTATAGCGACGGGAAATTGCAAGTATCAATAAACAAGAAGTAATACCCATGTACAAGTGGTGGCTCTCATGCCACTGTGGTGTAGTGGATAACTCCTTGATATTTAAAGCGATGGTTGCTGAGTTCTAGTCCCAGTGGGGACAACAACACCCACTGGAGTGAAGATACATCCAGCCGACGAGTCCTAAATAGACGAAACGCGAGTCCTGGATTCCACTGCTAGCCACCAAATATACTACAATGTAATGAATATCCGGGCAGTATCCAGGCGTCCACATAGGGAGCTCATCTGTCAAGTGAGGTTGAACGATTCAACCCAGTCTAGCAACGAGGAAGTCAGGGAACGAACCAACCAATAAGCCACTGCTCAACAAATATGCAGAGGAATAGTGTGGAGATGGACTGTATTGTATTGGGCATACACTGAGAAGGCCATTTGGAGACACGAGGCGCCAGGCTAGGTCTTCTAGTGGAACGGGAATGGGAAACGACGAGTTGGGTGTCTGAGATGAGATGAGGTAAGGGTGACATGGAGGAGATTGTGTGAGGAAGAAATGAAAGCATGTGGGAAGTCGTTGAGCCCGATTGAAAAGAGTGCGTAGAAGAGAGTGAAATGGAGACGTGCTACTGAAACTGTATGTTCCAGTAGGAACCCAAGTGACAAATAATAATATAATAAATAGATGGAGTAATTATTATTCACTTATGGTGTCAATTTACTTTGAATTACACCCGAAAATGGGCATGAAATGATGATGATTCCGATTCAATTGTATTGATTGGTCACAGTAGTGCAACCAATTTCATGTTGTCCAGTCCTGAGTGCAGATCGAATTCTATCGATCATATTTGCAATGTGACAACCAAGCTAGGAAGCTCAGCATCGTGGTGCACATTAGTAGATGTTAGTTGGTTGGATGCAATGTTGAGCTTCCTCGCTAGTTGGTGACATTGCAAATATGATCGATAGGATTCGGTGTGCACTCAGGATTAGATAACAAATAATTGGTTGCACTCCCGTGACCAATCAATACAATTCAGTAAAATAATTTATTTGATCATACTACTGAATTTTCCCATGTGTGAGTAGTATGTAGCGAACTGAGTTTCTTGTGCTTTATATGATATTCGAATAAAAATAAAAGCTTTACATAGACAGAATTCTTTCAGAAGAGTTTCTCAAGGAGTGACTAACGCTAAGAAGACCTGAACTTGACTTAGATGACTGTGTACTGTACAGCTAGAATAATTGTGGAGATGATGATAACTTGTCGTTCATCATAATCATCATTATCGCAGAGAGAAGTCTTAACTGTTTATATGGTGTTGTAATGAATTCTGTATCTAATAATGAGAAAACGTATGGCTACATCTTTCGTTTTCCCGGATGTTAGAAGAAGAAATCTTTGAGAAGAGGATCATTTTGCCAAGGAAATCATTGAAACTCATCAACAAATAATGATTTCATTACTAAAGTGGATTGTTAGAACACCTGAAATATCGGCAGAAGCTCTAACACATTCTAGTTCAATGATATCAACACTGCTGAGATATTTTCTTCTAACTATCTCGGAGGCTGGATGTGAAGCTGGTTGGAGTAGGTAATGTGATTGAAATAGATGAATATCATGTTCGGGAGCATAATTACAACTTGTAAAGACAACTTCAATATATGTCTTGACAGACTACAGATTCTTGATATATACGACGCTGGGCGACATGGGCTCGAACCTCAGATGCGACATTAGTTCCGTCGAGGTTGCAGATATGCCTTACTGACGAGTGTCAACGAACAAAAAGCCTAGGTCCAGGGCTTCCTGCTGATTGCCCCCAACTAACTAACATATACAACCGAAATACAAAGAAAGGAGATTTTCATTCCATGAAGCAAAGATCAGACAACTCTATCCTAGCAGTTATAAAAAAGTGTGTACAATCGGGTACCAAAATATACGCTGATACTTAGAAGTCGTACGTACCGTTATCTGAAATGGGTTACCCGTATCACATTATTATTTACAAGAAGCATTTTGTTAATCAGACAACTGGAGTGGACACAAACAAGGTGTGGGGTCATCTTTGAGATTTTCGAAAACCTTCAGCAGGATAACGAGGGGATATTTTACTGTTTCATATGGATGGTTACAATGACAATAAATCAATTAAAAATCTAGACATTTTTATTGCTCATGATAAACAGATTTATAAATTGTAAAGACGGTACCCATTTTGATAATTTGGTTGGTTGTGGCTAGCAGAAGAATCCAGCTGATGAGTCCCAAAGAGGACGAAACATGCGTCTTGGATTCTTCTGCTAGCCATAACCAAGCAAATTATCGTAAATAACATTCAGGTAATATCGAGGCATCCGCATAGGGGAGCCCATATGCCAATAGAAGTCGAACAATTCGATCCAGTAAAACAACGGAGAATAACAAGTATATCAATAAATAGTAGAAAGTACCATTTTAATGATGGTTAGTGGCTAGCAGTGGAATCCAAGACGCATGTTTCGTCCTATTTGGTACTCTTCAGTTGGATGTACTCACCTCCTAGTGGGTGATGCTGGTCCCAATAAGATTCAAGCCAAGGATCGACTGCTTGAAACTCCAGAGCGCTATCCACTAGGTCACGGAGCCACTCACGGTAGCTACTTCTTATACAATGGATATAGTTTATATGATATTGCTTATATTATACAGTCGTTATTAATCATTTATGTCAAAATTGAAATGATAGGCAATATCGTGGCCTATAAGCAGCAGCTCACATGGCAATAGAGACTGACTAATTCGGTCCAATCAACGATGAGATAATACAAGCACCAAAATTATATTATTCTTTGATTGTCCATTAACAATACCATATCTTCACCTCTTTGTAATCTATTTCTACCCTATGAATGATTTAAAAAATCTTTCGTAAGCCCTTTTTTTGTCACTAATCAACCTTGATGTGATCAATATTGTTTTTTCAGTCTCATTATTTAAATTTCTTCATGACTTACACTTTTTAAGTATACCATATATATAGGCGGCACAAACGAGGACATCAAAGCCAGCCAGCATCGGAAAGACAACAAGACACGAGTTGATCAACCTGAAACCACTGTGCAGATATTCTACACTCAGCATACAACGTGAACAACATTCGGATCTTGAACACCAATTCAGTCAAGCAAGTGAGTACTTCTCTGTGATGATTGAGAGACTTGTCGTGTTACGAAAGGCATTTCGAACAGGCTACATATATTCATTAACAACTGCCTACACTGGCTCATTACTGAAGCTCAGATGACCAGAATGATGAGAATAAGAGAGAAGGAACT